CAAAGCAGGTCGAAGTGGCACAGTGGCACGGAGACTTTCGCAGCAAAGCGGAAGATCTATGTTCCATAATGGTCGAAAATGGCGAAAACATGCGAAGACGGATCCCGCCTCTTCTTTTCCCATGCTGCCAGCGTGACTCCGGAAACTAGAAAATGAATGAAACCTTACGCAACTCAACAGCTGGCCAGCCCCTTCCTATTCCTTCCTCATACGCCTCATCGGTGCTTGTCCGAACAGCTGCGGGCGGTACACAGGAGCGGCAAAGCCGGAGCGGACGAGTGGTCGAGTCACAAGCAAAAACTACAAACATGCTGGCAATCGCACAACTTTTCTTGCACCGCTAGGTGCTCAGCGTCGAGCGTTGGCAGTGACATACTTACTGTGGCAGCGCAGTCTGCACTGAAAACCTGTTCAGTCTACTTGCTCCCATCGAAAGTTAGCGAGACCGTCTGGCGCATAGGTGACAGGCACGCTGCTCACTCCGGTGGTTCGCTATGCCTCGGCTGTCTGACTGGCTGCGCGAGTCGAGGCCTCCCACCGGAGGGTCAACAGGACTCAGCCTCACGAAAAAGATCAGGAGCGCACTGGAGCTTCCAATTTCGACGGAAGCTGAAATTTGCAAGCTGCTGGCATATCGTCCCTGCCACATTTCAGGAATCCTACTAGCAGCTCAGACGCATGCACGCGCGCGCTCACGCCCCCACCTACCCATCCACCAACCCACCGACCCACCCATCCACCCACCCACCCACGCACGCACCCACGCACATACACACACACGTACGCACGTACGTACATACGCACGCACACCGCCGACGTCATTAAGAGTTGCCTGGCTGGAAAGACAGACGCGAAAGGCACAAATTTCCCAGCAATCTGGAAGGCTTGGAGTGAGCCGGCATACAAGGCTTAAACCTTCTTCTTGGGGCGAAGGCAGAAAAGCCCCAGCCCGGGCCTCAGCTCAATGTCAGCGCACAGAGCTTTCACGGACCGCTGGAGTTCCGCCTGCATCTGGGGACGGCGACTGGAACCCGACATGCAGACACACACGCTGCGAGGCAGACCGACCGACACATTGACTGATGAGTTGCGCATCTTGGTGCCGGGGCCCTTGTTATTGCAGGCACACAGTTGAGCGTCCTCAACTGATTGCACCTCACTTCGTTGGCATGGTTGTGATTGATTGGGTTGAGATGCCGAGTGCATTTCATAACCCCTAAACGCCAATCAAACCATGTGGGCGTGACCCACTGGCGCAGGGAATGAATGCTCGTGGTGCTGTCGAACACGACGTCTAAATTCGAAGGTCTGTTGGCTGGGCCTGCTTCTTGAGGACTTCCTCCAACGCCTGCCACACACTTTCATAAGACTGCGCGCGTTTCAACCAAAGCCTAAAGCGGAGCAAGGCTCGGCTGGCTCCAAGCTCAAAGATCTTCAGAAAAGACTTCAGCTCACCGCTCAGTTGAAGATGCTGCCATGCCGGCCCAGTCTTGGGAGATGCTTTTTGCATGGGCGTGCTCTCGATTTGAAGCCGCACCACGGCCATCTGGTAAACATCGAAATCACGACCAATGTGTCATCCACAGTACACAACAGAACCACCTATGTGACTTGTATGATGCGCATCCCAGCAGCCAGATAACCAATGACAAATGATCCCCACCAGTTGCCAAGCAGAAGTTGGCTCCTGTCAAACAATGCCAATACCATGTGCCTGACGACCGCGAAGCAGCTCCGCTTGCAGAACCTTGGACTGACAAGTCTTGACTTGACCTTTCCCGAACAAGCGACTGCAGAAATCGCACTCCATCGGGGCCGGACACGGACGACCCGCTGCAACAAATTGAAGCATGCATCATGCTGCATGACCAGGAGCCTTGTTCTCGCCCCGGACATGCTCCAGCTCCTGCTAAGCACAGGATGCAACGATCTTTTGCAAGCTGCCAAAACATGTCTCCTGAGATCGCCTGCGCCACTCGTGCAGTGCAGCCTGTGCCTGCCAGCAAACTATCACTTCTTTGAGCTCTCTCAGGACGCGCTTGTTTGCGATGCCTGCGCGGCCAAATTTCGCCGATCCTGTCCAAAGCACAGGACGAAGACTGTGCTTTGATTGTCCGTCGGCGAAATCACCAGGACGGCACTTGTGAACAAAACACGTTCGCAAGGCAACCATGTTAAGATATTTCTGTGAATGTGAAAGCTGAGGTATTTGCCTCTTCTGCCAAGGCTGCCAACTCCGGTCGTCCTGGAGATTTGTGGTCTCTCTAGATCGCCTCACGCCTCACCGAACTAGCTACGATCTTCATGGTCCAAAGAACGATGAGCGGCGACAGGCTGAGGGTGGCTACCATGTCTGCTTTGATTTGGAATAGTCACTAAGGCAGGAGTGGCATCCTTGGATGATGGAAATTGCACGGCGCAGTGCGTCGATGTAGGACATGACCTGCAGTCTTGCATCTGCGCAATTCATCGCTATGTTCACAGGCTGCAGTCGTTGCCCGTATTTCCGGTTTCTTGCTACAGCCAGTTTGATCGTGAGATGTTTAGCAAAACAAGCCTTCGCAAAATGAGGAAAAGCCGATGCCTAACGTTAACAGCTTTGCGGATGTATACTAGAGGTGTGTGCATGTGGAATGTAGGTAGGCGACTACCTGCCCATTACCCGTTCAAAAGATGTTGACGTTTGGTCATAGCCACCAGGTGAACAAGGTCCTGGACACCCACGGACCACGAACGTCCGCGATTGAAACAAACGCAGCAGGCCCTGGCTATGCGGGCTTCTCAGACAGACAGGATGCAATCCGAGATCAGATTCAGTAGTTTGATCCGCTTCTAGCCCACTGCCCATTTGCCAGGCTACGCTGACCTCGGGACAAGCATAAGTGGAAGCCTGCTTCGTGTCATGCGAGATGGGAACTCGTACAAACAAGAACTGACAAAACTGGAAGCAGGTGTATCGGTTAGTCATGCCTTCGTCTTCCTAATGCGCTATGCCTTTTCATCAAAGAAAAGACTATCAAAGAGTAAGAAAGGAACAGCTTCACAACAGGCTGTTCTTGCGCCATACTTCGGGGTCCTTTCAGTGGGGTTGCTGGCTCCTTCAAGCATTGCCATTCACAGTGATTGTGTTGTTAAGTTCACCTGCTATTAAGCACCGACAAAACCGTACAGGAGCTCCCCACGTTCTGCGGTCAGAATGTGGTAATGCAGAAGAAATTTCACTCTAAGTAAGCCCTCTCAACTCTCAACAAGATGCTTTGTGAAAGGTCGCACTGCCTCCAGCAACACACAAGTCAAGATAGCCCGTGGCAAGCTACGCATGGCATCGCATGGCTACGCCACCAAACCTCTTCTGCATCACGTCCATCAGGGCTCCCGTTGTACTGGGCAAGGAAGCTCAGCACCTGGCACTGCGTTTCTGCCCAAAGCGACATATGTCCCCTTGCACGTGGCAACAGCTGCTAAGCCTGGTCGATAATCTTCCACTCGTCTGTTGGAAGGTCTGGATCCAACTGCGTTCCTCCTAGCTTCTGGCGACACTGCGGAATGTCGATGGCATGTACTACCCTCTTCCGCATAATCGATTCACTCCGCACCTGCCACTGCCACCTCCATAACATCAGCCGCCCCGGACACCATGGATACTGTGAAAACACTTCGGTTTGCTCCCCAGATCTCTTGATCGCGTGGTTAGTTGCAAGTATGTCGCATCAACTGGTGCGTGCTTTCAGTCATCTGGTGAGTCATGTCTTAGACCGCCGGGAGATGCGTGGACTCGTGCTGAGGCCGGCTTCATAGCTTCATCTCCTGTAGGTGGCTTGCGAACAGCAACTGTAACGCGCAGACGGACACGAATTACCTAACTATGAGCCAGGTCCCGTCGGCAGCGGCAGCTGCTAACCAGGTGGCATGCATGAGAGATGGAGAGGAAACCACTCCTCAGGAAATTGGAACTGGCTGTACACTGGCTGTACTTATTCCGGTTCTTCGGCGATTGCTAGGCAATCGTGCTTCTCCACATTGGGGTTTCTCTGAGTTCGGCTTCTATTGTAAGAGTGATGCATCAGAATCAAGCACGGATCCAGGTGGTAGCATATCCATGTATGCACATCGGACAGTAACTTCGGCATCGCAGAAATCCTCAGGCAGGGAGTGGGCGGCAGGTCACTGCTAGTTACTGTAACACTACTGATGGTCACAATCACAAGGGGACGATTTGAGGTGTGCCAACAAGTCGTGTCGTACCAAGAGCGGCACTGCGACAAGACTAGCCCGATCTAGGGCTGAAGCTAGCATGACGTAAACCAGGAAGATGCACACGGCATCTCAGTTCTAAGAAGGGCAGTACTTAGCCTTCGCCGTCCCTCAAACCGCATTCATGTGCATCGAAACCCGGAGTTCGGACATGCTGCATGGTGCGCTTCGGCAGAAGGCGGGCTTTTGATGCTGCAAGAATGAAGAAGGAATCACAGCAAAACAAAGGCGGCGAAGTTGAAATCTAAGAAAACGGCAGTGACGTCACAAAGACGGTCCCAATGCCAATTTTAATCCTAACGAATTACCCACCACCGCCTGATGGTTGTCTTCACCAAAGTCGTCTGGCATCCGAGCTTCCGAAGAGGCGAGGAAACATCCGAACCCATTAACTTGCGGCAAGACCAGTGCCTCCAATGGCCCGCAGGTCGACGCGTACTGGTCTTAAGTTCAAACAAGCTCGCACGTCCAACTGTGTTCTCATGGCGGTTGTGCTTCATGCATGAATTCAGCGTGAATTTGGAAACTCCAAACTGTACAGGGTCCCGCAGACAGCGTCCGCGACATGGTCACGACACTGTGGGGCTGAAGAAACGTAATCTGCAGTTACATGCTCACGCATGCATGGGGCCACTGTGGCACCATCTGGAGGCAAAGGCTTGTTTCGGTTTGTCCAAGACAGAATGCCAAAAGTACTTCAATGCACAAGCTCGGGCATCTGGGAGCCGCTATTCCAATGGTGCTGCTCAGCGACAGCGCGTCAAGCGGCGGAGTCTTGCAAGCCACGGGCTGGACCCCTCAGTGCCACAACCACCCTCCAGCACCTGGCCATGAAGGGCTGCCCTGCTGTGTCCTGTGGGCACTCCAACCGCCGTGCACCGGCCTTTATCTCGCTCGTTGCCTCATTGCTGATCTGCTTTCGGGCTGTAAGCCGCCCGCGACCGGCCGCCTTCATACACACTCTGCCCATTGCCCTGCCCCCCTTCTCACTTCACTTCACTTCGGGGCACAGGCGACTGCTTTCCCTCTCCCTCCCTTCTTCCACACGGCCGAAGGCCGTGCCCTCCCCCACGCATGCATTTGCACAGTCTTGGTCGGTGTCATCTCTTCTTCCACTCTCTCTTCTTCTTCCGCAGGGCATAAGGGGTGTCTGAAGCCCCCGGCCGTAAGGGATCCCAAGGGGCCCCCCAATTTACAGGGGCTTTCGGGAGGACTGGGTTTCCCCTTTTCTTTCGCCAGGGCTAGCCCCTTGCCCGCCACCCCCTTGTACGAGACCATCATGTACCATCGGGAAAAAACGAAAAGGAGAGATGCCTGAGTTGGCCCGGCACTCTCAGCACAGTGTGCGAACAACATCGACTGCTTCTCCCGAGGCTGTTTGATTGGTGTGAGGGTCGGTACGGATTACATAATATTTGCACACATTGTACGAAAACTTTGTGCACAATCATGCACAATCTCTCGCGCTACCTCAGTCTTCATCACAGCCAAGTTAGCAGGTCGGACGACCCTGCGCTCGCGTGATTTCGCACACAAATATGTCGGGTCTCGCTTGTTTCTCCGTCGCTGTCTCTTCGTCGCTCTCGCTGTCGCTGGCTCTCTTCTGGTTCTTCCCCTCCGAGATATGAGGAAAGTAGAAGCACACCTGTTTTTTCGCTTCTGTGTTTTCATCTTCTGTCACGTTGCTTCTCCCTTTCATTCTGCCTTTCCTTCGTTCTGCCAGTCTTTCTTCCTTCTTTGTTTCCTTCCTTTTTCCCTTCTCTCTGTTATATCAAGGCTCCCTGCTTCCTTCCTACCTACCTCCTTCCGTCCCTCCCTTCCTTCCGTCGTTCGGCTTCATCTGGCGTCTCGGAACCTGGACATCAACCAAACGCAGTCCAGAATGAGAAATGAAACTCATCGTCCTCCAGATTCACACCTCCGCCAAACAAGCAGTGTTGTTCCTGTCATTGTCTAAACTACGCGTGCTGCGCTGTGATCTGGATGATGCCAAATACTTGTAGTAGACACTCGCTGAAGAAGGAACCGTTGTCAGCATCACGTTGACTGAAGCAACAAAAAATCTCGGAAGAAAGAAGGCCCAAAAGCCATAGGATTGGATCATCGGGGGCAAAGTCTGTACACGTCGCCCGCTTGTTCTCAGAACATGACTCACTGCCCATCGGTATGGGAGCACCCCCGAACGCTGTTTGGTAGCCACACTCATTGCCACATATTGTTGGCAATGTTGGCATCCGTCCACTAAGGCCTGTGGGCCTGTGGTCTTAAAGAGACAATTATCCTAAGTGATGAGCAATAAGTGTCCGAGAAGAACCCTCATTTCGATGTGCCACCCTCTGATTGCGCATCAACCACTAGCCGCCGCCGAAGTTAATGGTGAAAAGGAGTTGGCCGGCGGAGTCAATGTGCATCGCATAAAGCAAGCAAATTGCCACCATGGTCAATTCGGGAGCAAGTCCGGATGATAGCCCGTTTCCCAGACTGACGGAAGCGGATGGAAGCGGACATAGCTGGTCAAAAAAGCCTGTGAGAACACCAACTAGCTGATCCTACGACAAGGCTTGCGGCTAAGGCACAACCGAACCATCACATCATCTGCCGTATTCGGATCATACACTTTCATCTCTGCAGTCCGAGCACGGCAGGGGACACAGAATTTCTCATGTTCTCTCGTCGCGATGGTTTGGATGCGCGCCGGGCTGGTGTGCAGCGGCCCTGCCCTGCCCTGCCCTGCC